ATGGTAGAACCTCCTGGTCCCAGTCCCTACCTCACCCACCACTCCTGCTGTAGGCAAAGGTCACAAATATTATCTCAGGAGAGTCTCCCTTCCTTGACCACATCAGATTAGACCAGGATGTGCTCTTGCCATTATATGCACTATGGCTGACAAACAGCATGTGATGATGTTAGGTGGAAACTGTTTTTATTTTTTGATCCTGCTTCTGTTATTCTCAAAAAACTCTCCTGGCTTTCTTCTGCCACAGGCAGTGATTCTTCTGGTCCACTTCTGAGTTGGCTGGCTCCAGGGGCATGTGTTCTGCTGCTTCTGCAGGGGTTGGCCCTGGGTGGCTCAGAGGACAGAGGTGAGGGGGGCCTGACAGTCCCTAGCTGTCTGGGTCCAAACATGGGTCCACATGGCTCTCCCATGATTCAGCCTCTAACCTGGATTCTATCAGCAATCAGAATGACCCAGTGGCTTCCAACAGTTCTTTGTTTTATTTCCCAGCTTATTCAGAACCTGAATAGAGAAGAGGACTGATTTTTTGGGAAGACTTCTCTGAATTTTTAACTTGCACATAGCAGCAGGGCCCATTAAATCATCTCTCAGACACAGAGAGACTGAATTTAGCAAGACTTTCAGTCAAATACCCAACAGAAAATTCCCCCACATGTGCAGATGGGACACATCTGCTGGTTTACTCCTCAGTTGGCCACAATGGCTGGAGCTGCGCCGATGTGACACCAGGAGCCAGGAGCCAGGAGCCAGGAGCTTTCTCTGGGTCTCCCACATGGGTGCAGGGGCCCAAGGACTTGGGTATCTTCTGCTGCTTTCCCAGGCCATAAGCATAGAGCTGGATTGGAAGTGGAGCAGCCAGGACTCAAACCGGCACCCCTGTGGATGCCAGCACTGCAGGTGGCGGCTTTACTCGCTATGCCACAGCACTGGCTCCTAGATGTATATGTATGGATATGGAAACATATGCACACATATAAGTTATTATGTTTAATATAAAAAAGTCATACCATGTGATAATATTTTTTAAGTGACAACACACACATAAAGGTGAAAAATACCATATACAGTTTGGGAATGTGTTTATGAGAGAAACTATTAAGACTTTATATCAAAACTGTAATGGTGATTACATTCAGGAGAGAGAGAGATGGGCCCAGCGCCATGGTTAATCCTCCACCTGCTGTGCCAGCATCCAGTATGGGCACCGGTTCTAGTCCTGGTGCTCCTCTTCCAGTCCAGCTCTCTGCTGTGCCCTGGGAAGGCAGTGGAGGATGGCCTAAGTGCTTGGGCCCTGCACCCGCATGGGAGACCAGGAGGAAGCACCTGGCTCCTGGCTTCAGATTGGCGCAGCTCTGGCCATTGCAGCCATTTGGGGAGTGAACCAATGGAAGGAAGACCTTTCTCTCTGTCTCTCCCTCTCACTGTCTGTAACTCTAACTCTGAAATAAATAAATAAATAAATAATCTTTTTTAAAAAAAGACAGTGAGCAAATAGAATTTGGTCCAAGCGAACATTGTAGTGTTTTATTTTTCCAAGGAGTCTTTAAGCATATATTGCGTAATTTCTGAAAAATCATACACATGGGAAAAAGAGAGCAAATATGGCAAAATACCAATGGCCGTTTATTCATTATGGTAGGAGAATGGATGTGTTGTGCTATTCATTGTACTTTTCTATAAATGATCTTCTGTAAAACATAAAGACATAAATTAAAATGAGAGACTTTTTTTTTTCTGGACAGGCAGAGTGGACAGTGAGAGAGAGAGAGAGAGAGAGAGAGAAAGGTCTTCCTTTTGCCGTTGGTTCGGCACACCCTGCTGATCCGATGGCAGGAGCCAGGTGCTTCTCCTGGTCTCCCATGGGGTGCAGGGCCCAAGCACTTGGGCCATCCTCCACTGCACTCCCGGGCCACAGCAGAGAGCTGGCCTGGAAGAGGGGCAACCGGGACAGAATCCGGTGCCCTGACCGGGACTAGAACCCTGTGTGCCGGCGCCGCAAGGCGGGGGATTAGCCTAGTGAGCCGCGGCGCCAGCCAAGAGACTGTTTATTGAAAGAATCTTCCAGAGGCAGGAAGTACAGAGGCTGAACAGTCAGCATCAGGTGTAACAGCTGGAAGTGTGTCCTGCACTGCAGGAGAGGTCACAGGAGCTGGAGGCCACATCCAAGGTTGTGAGAGGAGACCCAGGACCAAGTGGTCAGAGGAAGCCAGCATGCAGAGAAAAGGAAGCCATCAAGGGCAGAGTGGACAGTGCAGCCAAGCCTGGGGTATTCTCCACTGCTGACCTAGTTCCCATTCCAGTCCATATTTGTGCTAGTCAGTATTTTGTTGCTATAGTGAAATGCCTGAGAGAAGCTACTTATATAGAAAAAAAGATCTATTTAGCTAACAGTTTGGGAGGCTAAAACCCAAATAGTTTAATGCAGGCCTAATGAAAAGCTAATGGAATGCAATCTTAAAGAAGTCTAGGAAGGAGAAAGAGAGAGGGATTTTGAGAGAGAGAGAGAGAGAGAGAGAGATCTCCCATCACTTCTCCACTTCTCCAAACTCAAATGTTCACAATGGTAAGGCTGGGCCAACTAAAAGCTGGGCGCCAAGAACTCAGTCCAGGTCTTGCGTGTGAGTTGCAGGAACTCAATTGGTTGGGTCATCACTGCTGCCTCTTAAGGTCTGAACTGGCAGAAGGTTGTAGATAGGATTTAGAGCTGGGAATCAAACCCAGGCACTGTGATGTGGAAAAGAGCCGCCTTCGCACTAGCTAAATGCCTACTCCTGCCTCTGTTTTTTAAATGCCCCCTTTTCTGCTACAGGATCCCACAGCTGCTATTTCAAACCATTTCTTACCTTTCATCCGCGCCCCACCATACCCTGAGTGATCTTCTGAGCCTCAGGTTAGTTATCTGCGTCTTCTCCCACCGGGAGTCCTCAGTTCCCCACCCCACACCTGACACACCCCATTTCCCTCACCACTTCTCCCTTCTCTGGGTTGTCAAAAACGAAGGCTGATCCCTATCTTCTGACCAGCTCAATACATACATTCATCCCCTTTACCCCTTCCCAATGCCTCCTCTTGATCAGCTCATCACATTCCGGCTCAAGTTACTCCTCCCCAAATCGGTGTCCCTTCTTCCTGCCGCCCATCCCTCTCTTTTCTTTAAGTGGTGGTTTGAGAGAGGTGCTGACAAGGCCCTTAGTGACCTGACCCTTATCACTTGGCTATCCTCATCTCTACATTTCCTGCCACTGCACTCCAGCCAAACCCAACCGTTTGTAGTTCTCTGAAAGTTAGACTCTGTTTTCTGAAACTGCCATCTCCATTTCCTGAAATATGGCCTCTCCCTGCTCCTCTCCACCTGGCCTGTTGACACCCATACTTCCTATCTCACATCCTGACAGAACAACTTTCAAAACACCCCTTCCAGAAACCCTTCCTGACTCCCCAGATCCAAAACAGAACCTCTCTGTGTTCCCTTGGTGTACATTGTTCACGCCGTCTTCACTCTCATCTCACGGCACTAAAGCTGCTTGTTCACGTCTCTGTTTCATTCTGCACTGGACTGTAAGCTCCTTGAGGGACAGAGCACACCTTGACTATTTCCCCCACTTGTTGGACCCAGCAAATAGTTGGAGCTCAATAAACAGCTGTTGGGTTAAATGAACAGCCTACATCAGCTGCTTCTACCTTGAACATAAACTGTTGGATTCCTGCTATCTATTACACTCCCATCACTCATGCCCCAAACTCTTTTTTACCTGCCACCCTAGGAGATGCTCTTGCCCATTCCTTCCTGACTCAGGGAGCCATTGCTCCCTTCTCAGCCTTGGACTCCTCAACCTCACTGACGTCTGTGACACACTTGTTCCATTTTCCATCCCTTACAATTCTCTCCTCCTTTGGTTTCTGGAATGTGGTACTCTCCTGGTTCTTGCCCAACCTCTGTGACTTCTCTTAAACTTCTTCGCTCTCTTCTCTTCCTTTCCCTTCCTTAACGGATCTCAAATTCTGTCATTTTTCTCTCTTACGCTTGCTTCTCTTCCTTAGATCCCTGTTTCTGTGCACTGTATCAGTACCCTCTGTGACACGAGGGCTGAAAAATCACAGGGTCCTTGACCTCTGTCTCCATTTATGAGAGCTGCTAACTGGTAGCAGCCAAGTCCAGTAACTCTGCTTCCTAAATGTTGCTCCACACTTCTAACTCTTGTTCTAGTTCATTCCATCTTGCTTGCATTCCCGCCTCATTCCATTTTGCTTGCATTCCCGCCTGGAGTCCTGGTGACGATCACTACCCCTAAATCGGGCCCCGCCCTGACCCCACTCCACTGCCTCCTCATCTCCCCCAGAACTCTTTCCTTGGTACGACGTTGCTTAAAATATACAATTGTTGACTCTTGCAACTGGAATGAAGTCAAAACTGTGAAGAAGAGTTTGGGGCCCTACTCAACCTGGACCACCAACCTTCTTTCCAGCCTTCTCTCTCAACACATGACCACTTCTTGTACTGCTACTATTTCCTGCCTACCTGGCTCTGCTTCCACCTGAACTCCCCTTCCCCACCACTTCACTGCTTTATGTAGAGCTCTTACCTAATCTTCATGCTCACTGTCAATGTCACTTCTCCCGGGAAGGCGTCCCTGACCTCTCACCTTTAAGCTGCATCTTAGTCTGGATATCATCACGTCCCGCTGCCTTCACGGGTAAATCCTGAAATCTCAGGGGTTCAGTTATTTCCCATTCTCATCACAGTCTGATACGCGTCAAGAAGCTCTCCTTGGTTAGGTATCTGAAGGTGACTCAGGATTCCGGGTCGGTTTCATCTATCTCATCTGCCGTCCCAGAATTGTCCATTGCAGCAGTGTGGCGGAGAGGGGAGGCCTGGAGGATGTGTGCTCGCTCTTTACGGCCTCAAGCCAGAAGCAGCCCATCATGTGTTCTCACATTCCCATTGTTGAAGGCGCAATCACAGTGTTCCCAGCAAGCCACAGGGAAGGCTGGGAAATGCAAGGAAGTATATGGACATTTCGTCAGCATTGCATTTTGCTTTGCCATTGCAAAAGGTGATCAACTGCTCCAGTTTGCCTGAGACTGTCCTAGTTTTAGCACTGAAATGTCCCAGGGGCTGGCACTGTGGCACAGCGGGTTAATGCCCTGGCCTGAAGCGCTGGCATCCCATATGGGCGCTGCTTCGAGACCTAGCTGCTCCTCTTCTGATCCAGCTCTCTGCTATGGCCTGGGAAAGCAGCAGAAGATGGCCCAAGTCCTTGGGCCCCTGCACCCATGTGGGAGACCTGGAAGAAGCTCCTGGCTCCTGCCTTTGGATTGGCACAGTTCTGGCTGTTGCAGCCAATTGGGGAGTGAACCATTGGATGGAAGACCTCTCTCTCTCTGCCTCTCCTCTCTTTGTGTAACTCTGATTTTCAAATAAATAAATAAATCTTTAAAAAAATGTCCTAGCCCCAGGAAAACCATCCTTCCTGAGGAAACCAAAAAGGTTGTCCATACATGCACAGACACAGGCATGGACATACATGCATGTGCAGGCATGCTGCACACACACACACACACACACACCCCAATTCCACCACATGTATGAATTAATCTGCAGACCCCATGCCCCTCCTATCTCCAACATTTTTCTTGTACCTTGGCACAGGCACTACATAGCTATCTGTATTTCCACTTTTTTCTAGTTTTGGATAACAGACTTTCTGGAACAGGGACAGGATCACACGGATCTTTTTCATTCCCCACCCCCAACCAAGGTCAAGAATATTGTCTGTACTGAGTAGATAACCCTAAATGTGCACAGGGGTTTTAAATGTCATTTGTTTTTGATTATATAGATCATACATATATTCTGTGTAAGAAAAACCAGGTGAGCAAAAAGAGAGAAAACAGTTTTTAAAATCACCTTAATTACTAGTCTTCTTTCAAAATTAGCATTTAGCCTTTGGAGTGATACAAACACAAACACACACATACATATGCACACAGTCACACATGTGTGTGTGTATAAAATATTTGTGAATTGTAAAAAAAAAACTGGATCATATTGCACAGGCTGTTCTGTAAGTTATTTTTCTACTTGAATAATATATCTTATAAATGTTTATGAAATTAAATTGAAAGTAATATAATTAAATGACTTACATTTATTGGGCCTAAATTGTAATATACCTGGGAATGCTGGTATGATTAGCAGCTGTATCATGTTCTATAACTTGGCATGCTAAACATTTTGAATAGTTGACTGGTTGTGTTTCTTTTTTTGAAGTAAATGCAAGTGATGTAAAAGGTTCCAGAACAAAGCAAAAGATGGGCAACTGCCCAATTTATTATATAAAGCAAACGTAACCTTGGTACCCACAACTGATCAAGATATCATTAAAAAAACAAGATAAAAACCAAGAGATCAAGCTTACTTTGGAATATTGATCTTTAATAAAATACAAGAAAATAGAATATAAGAAGTTATTGAATAAATAAATGATAATAATAGTAATTATAATAGCTAACACTAACAGATATCTATTTGCCAGCCACTGAATGCTTTCCATTCAACAACCCATTTAATTCTCCTAACAAAAACCCTGTAAGGTACCATTTCACAGATGAAGAAACTGAGGAATAGAGTGTGAATAACTTGCATAAGTTCATGTAACTTTAACTAATCAGAAATGCAAGAAGGGATCACTACAAGCAAATCTATTTACATAATATAGCTGAAACCAGGAGCCCAGATCCCCATCCGGGTCTTCTACCTGGGTGGTAGGGGCCTGAGTACTTGGGCCCTTTTCCACTGCCTTCCCGAGCACATTAGCTGGGAGCTGAATCCCTAAGCATGTTTTCATAGCCCTTGTGGCTAATTTAGGTTAAATTTCTAGAAAAAAGTTCCCCAAATTTCTACTTCTACCAGTTATGGAGAGGGTGCTATTTTCTCCACACTGTCATCTACCAATAATTCCAAAGGGGTACTGAATATTTACACATGTATCCATATTTACACATGTGTCCATACATGTGTGATACATATGAAAAAATTACAGAAACATTACCTGGAGTTGTGACTATTTTGAATAAATCGAGAGATTCGTCTGACTCTTAAACAGCAGTGATATATATTCCATGAAGCTATTAGTTCTTTCCGAAATAGTGCACTAATGAAATGCAGTGCCAATGGGAATTTTCTTGGAATTAGCCTAAATGATTCCACAAGTTTTCTGGAAGAATGAATAAGTGAGCATATCAATGAACGTCCTCAAAAAAGAAAAGGAAGGAGAGAACACCCTCCATCCAATTTTCAAAAAGCAATAATAGGTAAAGTAATAGCTGAGCAAAACTGAAAATATTCCCTTCTACTCTGAGCCATGCTCCTCTTCTACACACACGAGCCATTGGGGAAAAAGGTCTGAGAACCAGCTGATGAAATCTGGTGGAACTCAAGTTTGCGGTAACCACTTAATTCCCCAATTTTAATTAAATAAGAATTTAATTAATGAATTAACTAATAAGCACTATTATTTTTCACAAGGCTTTGCTTTCCCAACAGTAACTCACTATGCTATGATTGGGGTTAATTGCTTCCCATAGCTTGTTTCATGTGATGAAAATAGGAATATTTTTATTGTGCTTTTAACTTTTTAAAACAGATGTATTTATTTGAAAGGCAGAGTTACAGAGAGAAAAGGGGGTGGAGAAAGAGAGAGAGGGAGAGAGGGAGAGAAAGAGAGAGATCGCTCTTCCATCTGCTGGTTCACTCCCTAGGTGGCTGCAATGGCTAGCGCTGGGCCTGGCTGAAGTCAGGAGCCAGGAGCTTCTTCTGGGTCTCCCATGTGGGTGGCAGGGGTCTAAATTCTTGGGCCATCTTCTGCCTCCTTCCCAGGCACATTAGCAGGGAGCTTAATCATAAATAGAGCAGCCACGACTTGAACTGGTGCTCACATGGGATGCTAGCATTGCAGACAGCAGCTTACTCTGCTACACCACAGTGCTGGCCCCTTGTGCTTTTAACTTTTAAAAGAAATTCTAGTACACGTATTGGAAAAAGGAGGCACAACTCTCACTCCAGATGGCTGGTGACGAATCTGTGAGAACTGCTATGAGTGAATTGGACTTTGAGGTGCGAGGGTATGTTGCATTTTGACCAATGTTGGCCGTGTTTGTTGATTTTTTTTTTTTTTTGGACAGGCAGAGTGGACAGTGAGAGAGAGAGACAGAGAGAAAGGTCTTCCTTTGCCGTTGGTTCACCCTCCAATGGCCCCCGCGGCCGGCCTGCTGCAGCCGGCGCACCACGCCTATCCGAAGGCAGGAGCGCACTGCGCTGATCCGATAGCAGGAGCCAGGTGCTTCTCCTGGTCTCCCATGCGGGTGCAGGGCCCAAGGACCCAGGCCATCCTCCACTGCATTCCCTGGCCACAGCAGAGAGCTGGCCTGGAAGAGGGGCAACCGGGACAGAATCCGGCACCCTGACCAGGACTAGAACCCGGGGTGCCGGCACCGCAAGGTGGACGTGTTTGTTGATCTTAAAAATGGAGAAATGGAAATGTTTGTATTTCCAAACTCAGATTTCTTTAAAGTACCAAGGTTTAGGCTCTTTTCTTGGATGTTATTGTTTAAAACATGGTTCTCTGAGATCACACGGTCAGGCTGTATGAAAACGGAAGTTCATTTGTTTAAACTTATCGGCGGGAAACTCGCTCGTATAACCTTGTTCCATAGGCCTTTTCACTGTAAGAATAATTTGAAAGAAGGATGCCAACAACACATAATATCTTTAGAGAGCGAGAGGGAGACACTCAGCCACCCGCTCCCAGAGATGCTCACACACAGTGAGATGAACCAGTTGGCAGTGACACCCAAGCCACTCTGAGTTCAAAGTAGGAGCCACCTCAGAGTTCCCACCATCTGAAGAGGACCTTGGCTTTTTCCTTTGAAGCGTTTCCTTTGAAGGTCAAGGTAAAAGGTCCGTGTTGACTCAAGAAATTGCTAATCTATAGAAGGATGTGGCCTCTGCTCCATCACACATTTGTAACGTTCACATGAGGTTAACAAAACAAATGGCTGTGACGGAAATGCGTGAGCTGGGGCCCTGCTTTCTTTTCAACTGTCCCTGTGGCAGGAGCATTTCTCCGAGATCAGATAGGCCCCAGGCTAAGAGAGAAATCCGAATCAGATCCTGAGTTAATTTCGAGTTTCTTGAATTTCTGTCGTCAGGAATTCGTGTTCTGCAGTGGGCTGCTGCTTGCCAAGATGATGCAGGCAGAACTCAGAGTCACAAGATCTGAGTCAAAATCCCGAATCTTCCTTAATTAAGCAGTATCATCCCTGGCAGGTTTTCTCAGTTGCTCTTCTCCACCTGCCTCATACTAGGTCCTGCCAAACAATTTCTTTAAACAAGCTGAATAGTTTTAAAAACCCAACATTTTCTGAGAAATATTTTGAATATAGAACCCAGAAATAGGTAGGACTTACAAACTGAACTCTAAGATCTAGATGAATTCTAAGAGCATTCAGCTGGCTCATTGACACTCAAAAAAGCATTTTTCAACAATGCTACAGCATCACCAGAAGGCTGTGACTTTTATTTTGTTATCTTCGATTCCTAGCATCCTGAATCCTGCTAATTAGGAAATACTGCATACTTCCCCCACACTCATCCCTACTCCCATCCACACAAATACTGGGCCCAAATTGTTGGTGTACAGAAGATGGTGTGTATCAGGTATTGAATCTAAAAGCCTTTTTCTTCTGGAGAAGATGTACTGTCTGGAAGAAAAAACTGGAAATTTGAGACAAGAAACTTTGGTCAAATATTTTGTTATGCAATTGATGCAGGTGACGCCTCCCCAAATACCACCCCCCTTGCTAATAAGGTCACTCATGGAATTTGGAATGGATGTTGCATATGCTAGCCACCAAATGGCCCGCCTCAGAGTCCCAAGGGGTCCTATGTTTGGATAAAGTCTCTCTAACCCCTCTGTTATTGTTTATTCGAGTACTGATTCAAGGACCTTCTTCCATCTCACCCCCTCCCCACCAGCCACCACCACCAAAGAAATACCACCCAGAAAGCTAAGAGATCAACCACAGAGTGTGCGAAATGGGTGAGGATAGACTATATTACTTTAAAGAGGTAAAGGAACAGGCATGCTTGGAGTTAAAGGAGTGGATTTTGCTACCCCAAGTTAGGATTTTAAATGTAATTATGGATATAGATAAATGCATATTATTTACAGAGAGAAACATATATATAAATCTAGCTATCAGTTATCTATATCTTCTATTATCTATCTATATAGTTATATCATCTATTCATGTGTGTCTTATGGTCCAATGTCTGGGGATACTCATATAGTGCACATAAATTACATTTTTACAGCTACTTTACTGCTAGGACTAAAGAAGTTTTCTCCATATTGATAACATTTTCCATCTTCTCAAAGTTCTAAGTTCATTGAATCTACATGAAAGTCATTTTCCTTATGTGAAAGTAAGTTACCATCCCAGGTCACTTTGGGAGGCTGAACCTTTCCCCATCTAGGAGTGGGGCTGGCCAAAGCCACACTGGATGCTCTCCCCAGGCCTTTGGCAGTCTGGATTGTAGAAGAGGGTCAAGAACACCTGTGCTGGTCCTCCATCTGGTCTCCTAGGTGGGTGGTGGGCTTCTCACCTGGCAGTCTTTCAGGCCAGCATGTGAATGAAGGCGCCTACGTGGATGTTCCGAAGCAATCTGTCAGGAGAATGTTGCTGAAACCCAAGTGGGGACACCGGGTTTGCCAGTGATGTGTCCACCATTTGGTCCCCTCAAGAGATGTTGGTTCAGCTGCTTGGGGAGGGATGGGAATGATATCTGGGGACACAGCGCAGAGGCCTGGATTGTTTCTGAGGTGTGGTTTGATGGTTGTGATTAATTGCGGAGATTGAGATGGAACACGTTTGTAGGAGATAAAGGGACTGATGTTTTAGAAATTTAGAAAGCGTTCAGCCATGAATTTTGTTGATAATGAGCAGTTGCTCACACATTCAACATTAAGATTTTGTTTGCAATAATTGTTTTATGCTCAATTCTTCTTCGGTCAATTCTCCACATTGCTACTGGACACAAGACATTGTGACCTTGGTTAAAATCTCTCAAGGAGGTAGAATGATAACAGAAATCCTGTTTAGAAAATTCATCTTTCTGCTTTTCTATGTTTTTTTTTTCATATTGTCTACAAAAACAAGTGTTCTGAAAGGATACTTTACATGAAATTATTTTCCTTTTAGATTTGAAACACAGAGAGAGACAGTGGCAGAAAGAGTTCCCATTTGCGGGCATACTTTTCAGATGCCTGCAGGGGACAGCACTGGGCTGAGGCTGGACTTGGGAGTCAGGAACTCAATCTGGGTCCCCATGTGGGTGACAGGAACCCGATTACTTGAGCCCTCATCACTGCCTTCCAAGGTCTGCATTAGCAGGAGGCTGGAGTTAGGAGATGGAGCCAAGACTAGAATCTAGGCACTCTGATATGAAATACAAGAATCTTAACTGCTAGACTGACCACCTGCTCCTAAACATATTTCTAAAGAAATCTTTTTATATATTTCTTTGCCTTTAGGATAAAGTATATATTTGTCACCAGTGACAAGAGCCTCCATCTCTCAAGTTCCTACTTGCCCACTGAGTGTTCACCAATGAGCTACCCTCTAATATGCACCTCCAACCGGGTGCAACTGCTCTCCATCTCTCTCTTTTGGCTCCTTGATTAACACTTCTTTTGTCCTTCAAGACTTAGTCCAAGAATTGTCTCCCAGTTGCCACCAACTCCGACCCTATCCCCTACACCAGTATCTTCTCCCATAGTCAACCAAAGCAGAGTCCTAAGAAGATTCTAGAAAATGTGTTATGATATTAGTCATACCTGGAGAAGAGAGGAAAATGTGAGCACTTTGAAGATTTAGGATGTCTTTGTAGAATACACAATGCTTCTCTAAGTTTGATTTCCTGCTTACGTCCAGTATTGGCTCAAAGTCCAATTTCCTGGTGGGAAAAGATAGAAAAAGTAGATTTATAATTATTATAAAAATTATAAACCCTTATACACACAGAATTTAGAGTTTTCAAAAATGCTTTCATAGTGATATTGTATTTAACTCACAACCAATGTTCTGAGCTGAATATGGTACAAACTATGCTTCCTCATTTGGTGCCAAACTTTTTGGAGTTAATGATGCCAGGGTTCAGAGAAATGAATTATTATGTTCAAGAGCTCACATTTAATTCATGCAAGAGTCAGAGGAAACCAACTACAAATGCTTTGCTCTTTTGTTATATTAAGGGACCTTTAAGATTGGCCGGCGCCGCGGCTCACTAGGCTAATCCTCCACCTAGTGGCGCCGGCACACCGGGTTCTAGTCCCGGTCGGGGCGCCGGATTCTGTCCAGGTTGCCCCTCTTCCAGGCCAGCTCTCTGCTGTGGCCCGGGAGTGCAGTGGAGGATGGCCCAAGTGCTTGGGCCCTGCACCCCTGGGAGACCAGGAGAAGCAACTGGCTCCTGGCTCCTGGCTCCTGCCTTCGGATAGGCGCGGTGCGCCGGCCGCAGCAGGCCGGCCGCGGGGGCCATTGGAGGGTGAACCAACGGCAAAGGAAGACCTTTCTCTCTGTCTCTCTCTCTCACTGTCCACTCTGCCTGTCAAAAAAAAAAAAAAAAAAAAAAAAGACCTTGACCTTTAAGATAAGCTGGTGTTAGAAGGTAGCTTAATATATATTGAGTCAAGATTCCACCCAGTTTTGAATCCCTTCTGCCTGTTCTTCCACAGGCCTCCCCTGGCCAACATGCAGTCTTGTCACCCTGCTCCTCATTACCAGACCCAGGGACAGGGAGTTCACTGCATCCTTTTTTCTATCCTTTAATGACTGATAAATCACAGCCTTTACTGTAAAATTCTCCACGCTTGGTGTTGTGCTCAGTGTTTTACAAGTAAGGAGCCACCTCACATGATAGCAAATACTATTTCTAGTTTACAGAGGAGGAATTTGAGACACAGAAAGGGTTGAGTGTCTTAGGTATGGTCTTATAGAAAGTTTCTTACAGCACTGGGATTCAAACCCAGTTTGCCTGAGTCCTACCATATTACATGACTATTTACCCAAATCAAATTTCCTATGCTTTTTAACTATCGGCTTTACTTTTTGGTACCCCCTCAAAGATAGTATAAGTTCTTTTTATATGAGACAACATTCAATACTCTATTGGCAGGCAACTGTTTTGTTTTGTCAGAACCTCCTTATCCCAGGCCAGTTGTTACCAGCCTTTATACCTTTTTAAGTTTGATAGTTTCAGATTCTCTCTCCAACTTTCCAATTGCTCATTTGTGTTTCACCAGTTTGTCTATGTCTTAATGAAAATATTGCACACAAAGTGAAATGTGATAGTTGAGGTGCTGTTTGACCAGCAGTATAAATAATGTGACTAATTTTGAACTGATTTAACAATAAAACCACAGGCATTTCATAGATGATTACTCTAAGCTATGGTTCCTTTATCCTGACCTTAGGCCACTTGTTTTTTGGACCCACATATAGCTAGAACTTCACATATAACTCTAGAAAAACCTCACTTTACATTTGCTTCTCCTTATAGCCTATCAAGATCTGTTTGTCAACAACTTATTGCTACTGTCTATTCTATTTGTTTGTGTCTCAATCTTGTGGGATCTGCAAATCTATTTCTTCTGTATCTTTATGCTAGTCGTTGATTTCAAACATTAACAAAACATACAACATTTCCAAGTTTGATATCTATCTATATTCTATAGATATTTAACCCTTTATGGATTTTCCTAATTGCCCTTAAATCCAGTAAACTATTTCTCCATTTGGTCCATATAGATATCAAGACACCTTTTACTAATTTTGCTGAAAAAAGATAGACTGAGGCAGTTATCTTGTAGCCCTATCCCCAGCAAATTTATTCATTCATCCAACTATTGCCAATAACTTGTCATCTCATAATGCTAAACACAGTGGAAGATGCAATGATAAACATGCTGTGGTTTATGTCCACAAGATGCTTGCGTAATAGACTGAGAGAAAAACACAAGAAGACCATGCCGGGGGAATACGATCAATCAGTGAGGATGGTACCCACCACCCCAGGTCCTGCAAATCTGGTGTGAAGAGGTGATGGGATGAGGAAAGGAAGACAGGCCTTGGAGTCACATAACTTTTTTTTAAAGATTTATTTATTTATTCAAAAGTCAGAATTACGCAGAGAGGCAGAGAGAGAGAGGTCTTCCATCCGATGGTTCACTCCCCAATTGGCCTCAACGGCTGGAGCTGCGCTGATCTGAAGGGAGGAGCCAGGAGCTTCTTCCAGGTTTCCCACACGGGTGCAGGGGCCCAATGACTCGGGCCATCTTCTATTGCTTTCCCAGGCTCACTAGCATAGAGCTGGATAAGAAGAGGAGCAGCCGGGACTTGAACTGGTACCCACATGGGATGCCGGCACTTCAGGCCAGGGCTTTAACCCACTGCACCACAGCGACCTGACCGACCTGACTTTCTAAGGAAGAAACAAGCCAAGAGATATGAGGAAAATTGCTAGGGATTACAAAAGTACCCAGTGACAGAACTGGGTCTTGTAGATTTAAGTTCAGTCTCCTTTTCGCTATACATTTTGCTCAGGATCACTTCCCACCTCAGTCTTAACCATATATGTATCTTACAACAGGATTAAAAGATTTTCCACAGCTATAATTTACTAGACTCATTATGTTTGGTAGACTATTAATACTCTATTGATATTATTAACTAATGGTCTATTAAATAAGAATGTTCACTGAATTGGTACTCCAATCATTTTCCTGAAAGAAATCCAAAAAGACGGGCCACCTGCAGAAGCTTATCATTTAATACAAATACTTGGGCAGGTGCGCCCATCGCTTTCTCTCCTTAGCTCTGTATTTGCATCCATCTGCTCCCCACGCTTTCCCATTCTTTGTGTATGCCTGCCCAAATCATCCACTAATTATCAATTTTAATTCAAGTCTTAGACTCTCACCTGGTTGGCAACAGATGGAGTTGTACTATTTCATTCTAATCATTTCAGGAAGCTGAAGAATATATTGATGTTTAAGACATAAGAGAAAGTATTCAGCTTAGAAAAGGAGCAAGCATCACAGGGAAAAAAGAGAAAGTTATATGAAGCAAATGTAAAACTGAACTAGAAACCAAAACAATAAAATTGATAATTAAATAACAGATTTGCTCATTTGGCAACTCTAGCCAAAGGAGCCTCTAGGAAATCTCAGAAGTAAACACGCACATAAAACACTCATAAAATTGGAAAAAGACCAAATCACCTAAAGAGTATAAAATTCTGGGGCGGACATTGTGTCACAACAGGTGAAGCTGCACTTTGGATGCCTGTGTCCCATATTGGAGTGCCTAGGGTTGAGTCCCGCCTCTGCTTCCGGTTCAGTTTCCTGCTAGTGTGCCCAGGAGAAGCACACGATGGCACTACTACTGGAGTCCTGTCTCCCATCAGGGAGGATCAGGATGGAGCTCCTTACTCCTGGCTTCTACCTGGCCCAGCCCTGGGTATTTCAGGCATTTGAGGAGTAAGCCAGTGAATGGAAGAACTCTGTCGTGTTCTGTTACTGCCTTTCAAACAAACAAATGAATAAAACTTTTTTTTAAAAAAAGCTAATGATTCTTTTAAAATATAAAATTCTATAAATGATTTAATAAAACATCATATATAATTTTATTAAATGTAAATACTTCAATACAATGATTTTCCAGAAAATATATTATCCAAAAGTAGAAATTCCAAAGAAAGGATAACTGTGGAAATAATCGAGGATGTCGAAGAACCTTCACCAAAAGGAATTCAGATAAAGGGTTCACAGCTGAATACTTCCAGACACTCCTTCCAGACCTTTAATCAAAAGATAATTCCTGTGTTACATAAAACCTTCCAGAGAACAGAAATATGAAGAATTACCAAATTTCTCAGGCCCAATTCCAAATCAGGTAAAGATGGTGAATAAAACAGAAAGCCAATAAGGACAAGGACAATTAAAGACCAACCCTTCCGAAATCAACAATAATGCATTAGGAGAGGGACATATCATAATCTAGTTAAGTTGCACCAGAAATATAGGAATATTCCCAAAAATAATAATATAGCATTTTAATTTTTAACTATGCTCCTTAATTGATTTAAATTAAATATTATTCAAGATTCAAAATAGTTTCAGTAGGACTAAAAGCCCATTTACTCGTTTCCCTAAGAAGATAAAGAATATGTATTCCAAAGAACTAATCAACATTCTATTAGATGTAGAGCAAATATTTTTGAAAATATTAAATTAATTAATTCTACTCCCCTTTGAATTTATTCCTCAGGTAGCTCTCCACCTCCTAAACTTGACTTCTATAGAAGCTATGGGTTCCAAAGTCTTTTTTTTTTTTTTCGAGAGAAAACCACCAGAAACACCACCCACACCATCACCTGTCAATATCCACAGAATTAGCAGCAACCAGGCAGAGAGGTATCCAGCCTGAATGTTGCCAGGGTTTCCCCACAGATTGGCATCTTGGTCATGAAACTGATGTTCCTTGCCGGAAGGAGGCTATGACCAAGGAAAAATAAGAGCTTACTGTTTCCAGCCCAAAGGTTTGGAAGGAAGAAGGAAAAGAGAAGGAAAAGAGAAGAGAGCATCAAAGGATGCAAGATAAGAGACATATTCCAAGCTCCTCCTGGAGCTTTGAAACCTGGAACAAGAGAGACACAGGTTAGCATGACACTGACAACGCTGTGGCCCAGCATTGTCCCAGAGAGGGCGCTGAGCTCTCCCTCAGCCTCCCACATGAACTGAGCAGTTCCAGAAGCTGATCCTTTAGGGAAAAAACTGGAAGGAAGGGAGAGGAGTTGAGAACTAGGGGTCCCTCGTGGGGAGGAGCTGTATGAAGGACATAGGTCTGTCCATAGGTCACCACCTTTTGACCGAACCACTAGCCACAGTCATCACCTGCCAATTCCCACAGGATCAGTAGTGAGCCAGGCAGACAGGCGTTGCCATGAAGAGATCAGTGAGATTCCGAGGGGACTGGTACACATCTGAGGATATTTCCACTGGCATGAGACTAGCGACTGCCTACAAGATGAGCAATCGTGTGATCTTATAGTTTAACATCACAACTAATCATCACAGACATGTAAATGATATGACCAGGACTTACTCTTTATAATCTTAGTCTTTATAGTCTTGTTATAGATGAATTGATTAAAGAGTCAAAAAATAAAAGACTAATGGTAAAAGAGAATGATCACAGATGGGGAAAATATCAGCTTTCTAAGTTTTGAAGTAATGAAATAAGTTTGAAAGGCAATAACTGCAAATTCCTTATAGATAACCTAAGAGCTTCAATCAAATACCACAAAAATAGATCCTTTAAATATATTCTTGATGTAATAATAGAGGATCTTTCTTTAAAAAATAAAGAAAATTTATTTGAACATATGCGCCATTTAGGGAAATATGCCTGCTTTTAAGGTATTAGTTTTTCCCACTTAAATAAAACAAAAATGTGGATGTTTGCTTTTATCATCATTTAATATTGTTTTTAAAATTCTGGGTAATACAATAAAAATAAAATACATAATGATTGTAAATGGAAAGATAAGCTATACTTATTTGCAAAGGATGATACTTCTAAAAAATCCTGGAGAATCATCTGAAAATCCTTTGGAATAGTGGTTCCCAAATTTCTCTCTGTCTTAAAATGTACCTAAGGAATGTCACAAGGATTTTGGTGCTTGTGTCTCGTCCAGAAGCTGCAACTTAACTGGTCTGGGGTGTGTCCTGGACTTTGGAATTTTTCAAAATCCCTAGGGGATTCTAATGTGCAGACAAATATGATAATCACTTTATAATTAATAAGTGAGCTCAGTACATCAACTAGATTCAAGGTCGTTGTACAAAAGTAGGTTTCCTACCCTACAAATAAGTAGTTAGAAAATAAGAACAGAAAAAAAAATCTCATTTATAAGAGTGACAAATGTAAAAATACCCAAGAAGTATATTACTAAGAAAAGTGTAATATTTGTGCAATGTAAATTATAATATTTTACTAGGAGACATAGCAGAAAGTTTAAATAAGTTAAGAGACATAGAATGTTTATAAATACAGGGCAGTTCCACACTGTACCAGAGGAGGATTTCGAAAGAAGGGGCTGGGCCTATGCTGTGGTGCAGTGGGTTAATACCTATGGTATTAATACCATATGAGTGCCTGTTTGAGACCCGGTTGCTCCACTTCCAATCCAATTCTGTGCTATGGCCTGGGAAAGCAGTGGAGGATGGCCCAAGTCCTTGGTCCCTGCACCCGCATGGGAGACCCGGAGGAGGTTCCTGGCTCCTGGCTTCAGATCAGCGCAGCTCCGGCCATTGTGGCCATCTGGAGAGTGAACCAGCGGATGGTAGACCTCTCTCTCTGTCTCTACCTCTCTCTGTAACTCTGCCTGTCAAATAAAAAAAATAAAGCTTAAACAAAAAAAGAGAGAAGGGGTTGAAAAGTAAAATCCTAAGAAAGTAATCTCAAATTTGAATAAATGGATTTTTTTTGACAGGCAGAGTGGACAGAGAGAGAGAGAGACAGAGAGAAAGGTCTTCCTTTGCCGTTGGTTCACCCTGCAATGGCTGTTGCAGCCGGTGCACTGCGCTGATCCGAAGCCAGGAGCCAGGTGCCTCTCCTGGTCTCCCATGAGGGTGCAGGGCCCAAGGACTTGGGCCATCCTCCACTGCACTCCCTGGCCACAGCAGAGAGATGGAGTGGAAGAGGAGCAACCAGGACAGAATCCGGCGCTCCGACCAGGATTAGAACTCGGGGTGTCGGTGCCGCAGGCGGAGGATTAGCCTATTGAGCCGTGGCGCCAGCCTTGAATAAATGGATTTTTAAAAAGTTTAAAAAATCATGTTCAAAAAATAACAATGGAGTTTGCTTTACTAGGTGTTAAGTGAGTTTATAAAGGTGTAATTTTAGTCTAAGAAAAAGAAGATTAGTAAGAAAACATTTGCAGCAAATAACAAAAGATTAATATTTGTAGCTCATAAAAGGCTATTAAAATAAAAAATTGAGGTCACAAAATGAAAACGACGGACAGACATAAAACAGTGTGCAAAAAAAGATCATGAATGAAAATTTTTATTAAAAATCTTAAGAGACACATGAAAATTATATTTATGGTATACCATATGGTGTTTTGCTATATGAATAGATTGTGCTGTCCAATCAGGGTTAACATATCTATCTCCTCAAATGTTTAACATTTCATTATAGTGAAAGCATTTCTTCAAGATTTGTGTGTGTGTGTGTGTGTGTGCGTGCAGTACATTAATATTATAATCACCTTTCTGTGTTGCAGAATCCTGGAATTTTTTCCTCCTATCTAATTGTAACATAGTAACTGTTAATCAAACTTTCCCTACCCTTTCCAGTCCCCTTCCCTCCTTAGCCTCTATTAACCATTATACTTTTAACTTCTATGAGATCGCTATTTCTAATTTATTGATTGGCAAGGTAAAAAACCCAAAAACACGGCCCTCACTGAAGCGGGTGAGGGGGTGAGGGGAAGGAGCTCTGTGAGACAGCCAAACGTTGATGGGTCTGTAGTTGATCCTTATCTTTCTGGAAAGCGAATTGGCAACATATACCCAGTATCTTAAAATATTTTTTCTCTGACACATAATCCCAGTTCTAAGACTATTCTTTCCCAACAGGAAGACAAGGATTTACATCTAAGGGTAGTATGAATGCTATACAAGATTGGAACTGACCTACATGTCTAGCAATAGAGAAACAGATGAACAGGTCTGTAAGATCCATCCTTATAGTGGGAGAGTGTGGGACAAATAAGAGGGGACTTCAGAAAGTTCTTGGAAAAATACAATTAAAAATAAGTATATGTTGGTGGACAAATATTTTGAAATCTATGTATAGTGTTTTCTGTAAATTTTTTGAAAACTCCTTGTCCTTTACTTTTGCAAACAGATAAAAATAATTTTTAACGCATTTATTGATGTTAGAAAACAAAGAAGAGACAGAAATATGCTAAAATTTAGGTAGTGACAAGTAGCAGGCTTTTTTCTATATTAGATTATTTTAACACCAGTATTTGTTTTTATAACAAATATTATTAGTATTAGTTTATGAACAGAGATAAAGACAGGGAGAAAAGGAAAAGAAACAAGAGAAAGACTAATGACTAAATATTGTGGAAAACCCATATTTATAAAAGCATGACAATTAATAGGTAAATAGGAAAATGACAAAATAATTTACATAAAGAAAAGTTAACATTGTACCATATTAAATGTTGTTCATAAAGAAATCTAAGTTAAGGTGCCGATTCATGGCTAAAAGTGAACTGAAAACTTAAACTAATTTCCAGTGTTGAGGAGGTTAGAGTGGAAATAATCATACATATAAAAAGTTGGAGCATCGTAAACTGATGCAATAGTTTTTTAAAAGCAATTTGATTCCAAACATTAAAAGCTCTAATAATGTCCACAGCCTTTGAAAAGCCTAATCTCACTTGGGAAATGCTTCTGAAGAAAGTATTCAAAAAGGAAAAGATAGAAAAAAGACGTCCATTGCAGTTTTAATTAAAGTGTTAATCTTGAAAATACTGTAGAGAACAAGACACATCATGATACATCAACCCCATGGACTCTTGGGATGCTATAAAACTAAGGAAGATGTGTGGTTTCCATCTTGAGTGCAGAATAAATGCAGAAGGCAAAACTGTATGTAGACAACTGATGACATTAGGAAACAGAGACTAGGAAGGAAAAAAATGTGCTAGGATGGTGAAATTATAGATTCATTTCCTTTATGTAATTGTATATATAATTATATAACAATTACATATATAATCAAATTACATAATATATAAATTATATACTATAAATCATAAATTAGATGATATGTTATCTAATTATATATATTATAGAATAATTAACATAATTGCTTCATATAATATATATTATATATAATAATTATGTGTAATTGTTTTAACAGTGGGCAAAAATAGAAGGGGAGAAGTATTAGAGAAAAGGGAGCAAAGGGGAAAATAGTCTTTATGCATTAATTACACACAAATTTAAGCATCAATTGAAGATAAAGACCTTTAATGTACCTGCAAAGTAGGTATTGTCTTCATTTCCATAGGTGAGTAGATAGCAGCCTGAACAGGCAAGTCACTTTAAATTCTGGAATTAAAATGTAGTCCCTCTTCCAGTTCCATTCTGCCTCCTGCCTCTAAATGTGTATACACTGCTGGCTGTTAGCCTTTATGTGTCATAGTTTTATTTGGATATGATGGAAGTTATGAAACATCTTCTCCAGAAAAACTTTCAAGAATGCATAAAATTTGCATGTCAGCACTTCCTAAGGGTAAGGTCACCATGAACCTTGTTGTATGGCTGTTGGCCTGGAAAATCAATAGTGCCACTTTTCATTCTCGAAGTCCTTCTGATTTGGATTATAAATTACATGATTATCTTTAATTAAAGGCCACGCATGGTCTTTTCCTTTTCCTCTTGTCAACCCCCAGCCTACCCTTTTATGTTTCCACTTGTGTGACTTCTTTAAGTAAAGCATCCAAACAGAGGCATTTTCTCTACATACCCAGTGTGAGGAGAGAAGTCATGAACAGGGAATGACCATCTACCTTATCTTGTCTGGTGTATCAGCTATATCTTGAAAGTACTGGTCAGCAGATAGCATGGAACTTTTGCCTGGGTACAAGAAGTCTTGTCAGGACTCAACAGTTGCCTGCATTTGGGACCTAAATGCTTTGGTGAGGGTTAAGAGATGAGTCCTGGAGGCCCAGGACATGCAGTATGGTACTAGGAGAAAGTCAACTACCAGGGGACACCCCAAATATGTCCCCTGGCCATACTTGGTCAGATTGGACCAGCTTGACATCTGTGGTTCATGATCAGGCAAAACAGTAGAAACATATTGGATACTGGCTCTGGAGAAATTGTGGCAGCTGCTGGGAGGTCTGTGTTCCTTCATGCTGGCGTGGGGATGATGCTGGTTTTGTTGTTGTCCTCAAAGCCCAGAGGGGCTGAGGGAAAACCATGGATATTAATGAGAAGCGCTGCCCACATGGAGGGCAGAGAAGACATGATGGACAAGCATACGGCAAGGAGTTGCTCCTTCTTGCCTCTGACTCAATCTGTCCAAAGCAAGGCTTCTTGACCTGGGATCCATGAACTCAACTGAGAGAAAAATCCATCATTATTTGCATTAACCTATCCTACAAATAATCACTTTGGATTTGTATGAATCTGGGTAACCAGTCACAGCAATAGGAATAGTAAAAATGGCTTTTTCACCATCAAAATCACTGATACTCTTATAGATGGTTCCAGTGTACATTTTTTAAAGATTTATTTTATTTCATTTTTTGGCAAGATCAACTTTCTTTTTTATTTATTTATATATATTAATTTTATTTAAGTTATTCAAATTTCATATATAAAGATTTAGGAACATAGTGACATTCCCCCCCTTCCGTCCCACCGATGCTCCAACACTTTTTCCTCCTCCCTCTCACGTTCCTTCTCTTTTATATTTATATTTACAAAGAGATTTATGTTCTCTTTACTTAATAATCATATAGTTAACCCTACACTAAGTAAAAGATTTCAACAAATACTATGAAGAAACAAGAAAAGAAAAAACAAAACAAAACACTGTTCTTCAGTGGAAGACACAAGGGCTGTAACAATCCTTGAATCTCACAATGTCTATTTCAGTCCAATACATTATATTTCAGGTACTCTATTAGTTACCTTGGATCAAGGAAAACATGTGATAGCTGTCTTCTGGGACTGGCTTTTTTTAAAAATTTTTTTTATTTGACAGAGTTATAGACAGTGAGAGAGAAAGACAGAGAGAAAGGTCTTCCTTCTGTTGGTTCACCCCCCAAAATGGCCGCCACGGCTGGTGCTGCTCTGATCCAAAGCCAAGAGCGCGGTGCTTCTTCCTGGTCTCCCATGCAGGTGCAGGGCCCAAGCACTTGGGCCATCCTCCACTGCCTTCCCAGGCCACAGCAGAGAGCTGGACTGGAAGAGGGGCAGTTGGGACTAGAACTGGCACCCATATGGGATGCCGGTGCCACAGGTGGAGGATTAACCAAGTGAGCCACGGCGCCGGCCCCCAGGACTGGCTTATTTAAGTATAATGGTTTCTGGTTGCATCCATTTGTTGCAAAAGATAGGATTTCATTTTTTTTTACAGTTAAGTAGTACTCCATAGTGTATATATACCACAGTTGATGGGCATATGGGTTGATTCCATTACTTTGCTATTATGAATTTTGCTGCAGTGAACATGGGGGTACAGATAAACAGTTTCATATGCTGATTTCTTTTGTTTGGGTAAATTTCCAGGACTTGGATGGCTGGATCATATGTTAGGTCTGTATTCAGATTTCTGAGCTATCTCCATACTGTCTTCCACAGTATCAGTTTACATTCACACCAGCAGTGGCCATGGGTACCTTTTCCCCCACATCCTCACCAGCATTTGTCATTTGTTGATTTCTGTATGTGAACCATTCTAACTGGAGTGAGGTGAAACTTCACTGTGGTTTTGATTTGCATTTCCCTGATGGCTAGCAGTCCTGAGCATTTTCTCAAGTGTCTGTTGGCCATTTGAATTTCCCTTCTTGAAGAATGTCTGTTCAAGTCTTTTGCCCATTTCTTAACTGGATTGTTTGTTTTGTTGTTGAATTTCTTGAGCATTTTATAAATTCTGGATGTTAACCTTTTATCAGTTACATAGTTTCAAAAATGTTCTCCCATTCTGTCAGTTGCCTCTTCACTTTGCTGAGTGTTTTTTTTTAAATCATTCAGTACTGAGTTCATTTGCATTAGGAGAACTTCATACTTTATTTTTTTTTATTTGACAGAGTTAGACAGTGAGAGAGAAAGACAGAGAGAAAGGTCTTCCTCCTGTTAGTTCACCCCCCAAATGGCCGCTGCTGCTGGAGCTATGGCAATCCGAAGCTAGGAGTCAGGTGCTTCCTCCTGGTCTTCCACACAGGTGCAGGGCCCAAGCACTTGGGCCATCCTCCACTGCCCTCCCGGGCCACAGCAGAGAGCTGGACTGGAAGAGGAGCAACCAGGACCAGAACCTGGCACCCATATAGGATGCTGGCACTGCAGGTAGAGGATTAACCAAGTGAGCCACGAAGCCGGCCCCGCCGGGTGTTGCTTTTGCATTGCAGAATGTCCTCAGCTTGATAAAATCTCATTTGTCAATTTTGGCTTTGATTGCCTGTGCTTCTGAGGTCTTTTCCAAGAAGTCTGCCTATGCCAAATGTCTTGCAGAGTTTCCCCACTGTTCTGTAGTTATTTGATGGTATCAGGTCATAGATTGAGGTCTTTAATCCATTTTGAGTGAATTTTTGTGTAAGGTGTAAAATAGGGGTCTACAAACTTTGGCACATGGAGATCCAGGTTCCCCAGCACCATTTGGTAAAGAGATGTCCTTGGTCCAGGGATTGATTTTAGCTCCTTTGTCCAAGATATGTTGCATGGTTTGATTTCTGGAGTTTCTATTTTGTTCCATTGGTCTATAAGTCTGATTTTGTGCCAGTACCAGGCTGTTCTGATTATAACTGCCTGGTAATATGTCTTGAAATCAGGGATTGTGAGGCCTCCAATATCGGTCAAGTCCATTTGGTCCATAGTATCAATTAACTCTGTTATTTCTTTGTTGATTTTCTGTTTAACTGATCTGTCCATTGATGAAAGTAAGTGTTCAAGCCCTCCATTACTATTTTTTAAAGATTTATTTATTTATTTGAAAGTCAGAGTTACACAGAGAAAGAAGGAAAGGCAGAGAGAGAGGTCTTCCCTGGTTCACTCCCCAGATGGCCACAATGGCTGGAGCTGTGCTGATTGGAAGCCAGGAGCCAAGAGTTTCTTCTGGGTCTCCCACGTGGGTGCAGGGGCCCAAGGACTTGGGCCATCTTCCACTGCTTTCCCAGGCCACAGCAGAGAGTTAAATTGGAAGTGGGCAGCTGGGACTCAAACCGGCACCCATTTGGGATGCCGGCACTGCAGGTTGCAGCCTTACCCACAATGTCACAGCACTTCTCCCTGCCTCTCCCCACAACACTGGCCCATTACTATTGTATTGGAGTCTATGTCTCCCCTTAGATCCATTATCATTTCTTTACATAGCCAGGTGCCCTGTAATTGGGTATGTATACATTTATTATAGTCACATCTTCCTGTTGAATTGATCCCTTAATCATTATAAAGCACTCTTCTTTGTCTCTTTTAACAGCTTTTATGTTAAAGTCTGTTTTGTCTGATATTAGGATGGCAGCACCTGCCCTTTTTCGCTTTCCATTAGCAAGGAATATCTTTTTCCATCTTTTCACTGTGAGTCTGTGTGTATCTTTGTTGGTGAGATGTGTTTCTTGTAGGCAGCAAATAGATGGGTCTTGTTTTTTAATCCATTCAGCCAGTCTTTTAACTAGAAAGTTGAGGCCATTTACATTCAAGGTGACTTTTGATAAGTAACGACTTGGCCCTCCCTTTTTTCCATAAATAATTCCTATTGTTTGCTTTGAATTTCTTTTGTACTTTTGCTGGGGTGTTTTCTGATTTCACAATCTTCCACGATTATGGCTATATTTTTGTGTGTAGCACATCCTTAAGCATCTTTGTTAAGACTGGGAGAGTGGCAACTGCTTCTTTCAATTTCCTTTTGTTGTGGAAAGTTTTATTTCACCTTCACCTATAAAAGGGAGGTTTGCAGGATACAGTGTTCTGCTTTAACAATTTTTTCTTTCAAGACTTGGACTGCATCTCCCCATTCCCTTCTAGCTTGTAGGGTTTCTGATGAGAAGTCAGCTGTAAGTCCAATTGGAGATCTTTTGAATGTAATCTGGCATTTTTCTCATGCACATTTTAGAATGTTTTCTCTATGTTTTACTGTGGAAAGTTTGACCACAATGTGTCATGGTGCAGGTCTTTTCTTATTTGGACATTGCTTTCTTTCTCCAAATTGGGGAATTTTTTTGTAATTATTTCACTAAATAGACCTTCTAGTCCATTCTCTCTTTCTACACCTTCAGGAACTCCTAAAATCCATATGTTGGGTCATTTGATTGTATCCCATATATCTCCAACACTGTTTTCATGTGTTCTATTTGCTTGTTGTTATTTGTTTATTTATTTGGTTTGACTGTAAGATTTCCAGAGATGTCTTCTAGTTCCAATATTCTTTCTTCTGCCTCGCCAAGTCTGCTGTTACGGCTTTCCACTGCATTTTTCATTTGATCTATTGAATTCTTCATTTCTAATATTTCCTTTTGATTTCTCTTTAAAATTCAATTTCATGGGAGAAATTGTCATTCATATCATGGTTTTCTTTAGTTTGTGGATTTGCTTCTGATTGCTTTTGAGTAGTCCTATGGTTAATTTTTTGAATTCCCTTTCTGGAATTTCCTCAGTCTCTTCATCTTCACATTCTAATATTGAAATGTTGTTGTATTCCTTTGGGAGGGTCATGGTATTATCATTATTCTTGTTTTTTAAATTTCTGCGTGTGTTTTTAGGTGTTTGTGGGGTTGATTTTTTTGTTTCTTTGTTTTTGTCCTCTGATGGCTTTTATCTTTGAGCTATGCCTCTGTGGCTTAGCAGGATGTCTGCACTTTTAGTGAATTTCTTCTTTATTTTTTAAAGATTTATTTATTTATTTGAAAGTCAGAGTTACACAAAGAGAGAAGGAAAGGAAGAGAGAAAGAGAGAGAGAGAAGTCTTCCATCTGCTGGTTCACTCTCCAATTGGCTGCAACAGCCGGTGCTGCGCTGATCCAAAGCCAGGAGACAGGAGCTTTTTCCAGGTCTCCCTTTTGGGTGCAGGGGCCCAAAGTCCTGGGCCATCTTACACTGCTTTCCAGGTCATAGCAGAAAGGTGGATTGGAAGTGGAGTAGCTGGGACACAAACCGGGGCCCATATGGGATGCCAGCACTGCATGCGGCAGCTTCACCCACTATGCCTCAATGCTGGCCCCTCAGTGAATTTTGAGAGGTGTGTGGTGGGTGTGGCCAGGGAGCTCTGGTCAGTGCTCCAGGGTGGGGTGAGTATCCAGGGTAACACTGACATCGGGCATGGTTGATCTCAGTTCTCTGGGTGCGAGCCCCCAGTGTGTTCCGTGCCACTGTAAAAACTGCACAGATGATCTCTGCAGTCCTAACTGTGAGCACAGTGAGCATGTGGAGCCACTCACGGTGATCACCCAGAGACCCAGCTACTCCCTGCACCTGCTCACATAACCACTGAGACCCCCGGTCTCAGCACACGAGGCTCCCACAGTCATTGAGTGCTGAGGTTTCTGTTTGCCCTGCCAGCATGCCCAGTAGACAGACAGGCTGATGTTCCCCAAGACAGCTCTGTCTAGGCTTGATCCTGGGAGGCTGCAGATGCCTGACCATCCTACATGGTTGCCCAGCCACCTCCTAGCTAGGCTGGAAGTCAGTGGGGACTGGGGATTGTTTCCTCTGCTGGGATCACTGGGTCACACGGGTACACAGGAGCCACTGGCCGAATGTTGCTCCACCACTGCCACCAGTACTGCTGTAAAGGTGGCGTCCTGTCTCAGCCGGTTACTGTGTGTGCACAGTTGCTGCCCATACCAAATGGTGCCTGCCCTTTCTCTGCCAGGCAGCAGGAGCTGTTGTGGGGAAGCTGGAGAAAGACAAACATGCCCCTTCTACTCCCACTGGGTCCTGGGCAACCGCTAGTCCCCAAGGTCCAGTCCGGACTCACGCTGTGCTCTCCCTCTGGTTATATCGCCATGGGTTGCTCCAGTCGGGTCTCACCTCCATTTCAAAGCTGCCGCCACTCCGCCTCCCAGCCACTGCCATCATGGGCTGTGCCCGTGTTCTTTCTGTACGGCTGTACTTCCATACAGGCCCACGGGGTTCCTCCTGCTCCTGTAGGGTTTCCAGTGTGGTTTTCTCTCCAATTCTGCCCTGAAAGTGCACTTCCTACACCCTTTTCTTTCACTAGTCTAGTGTATCATGTCACTCCCTAATCTACCTTCTTGGCAAAATACTAAAGATTTATTTTATTTATTTCAAAGGCAGAGTTACAGAGAGAGAGAGGGCTAAATGGCCACAATGGCTGGGGCTGGGCCAGGCAGAAGCCAGGAGCCAGGAGCTTCTTCCAGGTCTCCTGCATGGGTGCAGGAGCCCAAGCATTTGGGCCATCCTCCACTGCTTTCCCAGGCACATTAGCGGGAAGCTGGATCAGAAGTGGAGCAGCTAGCACTCCAATTGGCAGCTAAATAGGATGCTGACACTGCAGTTGGTGGCTTTACCCGCTACACCACAATGCCAGTCCCCTTGTAAATATTTCTAAGTAACATTTATGCTCACTAGTTCTTGGAGATTATGGTAATTATCTGAGGTGCCTCTGTTTTTCATGTGTTAAGGATGCATAAATTATGCTAAGATTTGTATTTTTTCAGATTTAAAGAAAATTCTAATGGGTGTGCTTTAATATAATTGATTTTTTCATATTACATATTTTAAATATTTAAGAATATTATTATTTTCATACAGAATCTCTGGGCCTCATCACACTGCTGAAGGGGTTCCTGGCATAGAAGTTATGGCTCACAATGATGAATTATAAAGAACTGGAGCAGAGCAACTGGCAGCCTCCAAATACAAAGGAAAGGTAAGGAAATGGAAAGGCGGGTTGCCTAATATAGTAGGTTTAAGCTGTGCATGTATATTTAAAGGTTGCACTGTATCCTTTAAAATGTGCAAGTGTTATATGTTAATCCAAAATGTAAAAATAAACTTAAAGTATGGGAACACTTGGAAAGTAACATTATCACACCACTCAGTTTTGTCATAGATCACTCTTATGGTGGCTATACAATGTTTCTATTGCGAGATGAAAAATACTTACAGAAATATGAGATATTTCTGGTTAGGCAGTGGTCAATAGAAGCTCCCAGAGGTCCCCTTTGGCATTATCTTGTCTTCCTCTAAATACTCATTCTTATTTTTTTTAAGAGTTATTTTATTTATTTGAAAGAGTTACAGAGAAAGGTAGAGCCAGAGAGAGAGAGGGAGAGAGAGAGAGAGGTCTTCCATCTGCTGGTCATTCCGAATTCTGCATGCAGAGCTGCACTTGAGCAAGACAAGAGCTCTCACATCTCCCATGTGGGTGCAGGGGCCCAAGGACTTGGGCCGTTTTCAACTGCTTTCCCAGGCCAGGCCATAGCAGAGAGCTGGATTGGAAGAGGAGCAGCAAGGACTCGAGCCAGTGCCCATATGGGATGCCAGTGGTGCAGGCTAGGGCTTTAACCCACTGCGCCACAGTGCCGGCCCCCAAATGCTCATTCTCATTCTTATTTTAAAAACTCCTTCCTCTTTCCTTGCTTCCCTTGCTTCAATGTGAATTCTTTCACTTATTTCCCAAGGTTTCTTGTTTTTTTTTTTTTTTTTTTTTTTTTTTTAATTTTTGACAGGCAGAGTGGACAGTGAGAGAGAGACAGAGAGAGAAAGGTCTTCCTTTGCCGTTGGTTCACCCTCCAATGGCCGCCGCTGCAGCCGGCGCACCGTGCTGATCCGAAGGCAGGAGCCAGGATCCAGGTGCTTTTCCTGGTCTCCCATGGGGTGCAGGGCCCAAGCACCTGGGCCATCCTCCACTGCACTCCCTGGCCATAGCAGAGAGCTGGCCTGGAAGAGGGGCAACCGGGACAGAATCCGGCACCCCAACCGGGACTAGAACCCGGTGTGCCGGCGCCGCAAGGTGGAGGATTAGCCTATTGAGCCACGGCGCCGGCTCCCAAGGTTTCTTGTTTTCAGAACTGAGCAATGGCTGTGTGTCTTTAAAAAATAAAGCTTATTTACTTTCATCTATGAGGGAGGGAGAGAGAGAGAGAGAGAGAGAGAGAATCTTTCATCTGCTAGTTCACTCCTCAAATGCCTACAACAGCCAGGGCTGAGCTAGGGTGATGCCAAGGAGCCCAGAATTCCACCTCGGTCTCCAACATGAGTGAAAGGGCCAAGCACTGAGCCATCATCTCCTGCTGTCCAGGATGCATTAACAGGAAGCTGGATTGGAAGCAAAGTAGTGGGGACTTGAATTGGCACTCTGGTATGGGATGTGGGTGTCTCAAGCTGTGTCTTAATCTACTGTGCCACCACACCCATTTGTGGATGGCTATAGATCTCATGGTCCCAAGAAATAGGATCCTCCCACTTCTATTCCATGGACTTTTTTTTTTTTTAAAACAGATTTTTGGGTGTTCATATTTTCCCAGTCTGCCCCCTTTATGCAACCCAACCTCCCCACAGGAAGTGGGACATGCGTGCCTATTACATAAGTACTCAAGACGTCTCATGATTCCACAGGATAATGAGTAAGTAGCCTTGCATTAGGTTGTCAGAGTGATAAGGAATGTTGAAGGAGTGTGGAGACCTAGATAAATGACAATGCTGGTGGAAATCAGCGATAGCATGTTGAAGACTTCTGTACCATTTGCATGATTTACATCATTTCTAACTTAGTTCTCTTTATAGGTCATCTTCTGATATAATCTACAGAATGACTTTCTGAGGCAGATGTTAATAAACACATTTTTACCAGCCAAGTTAAACTGAGGTGCAAATAGGTGAGAGACACACATAATAGCAAAGCCAAAGTTTGAATCTAACCTGTTTTTACACTACATGCCTTTAATCAGTAATACTAACTCATCTCCCTCAGATTTGGGAACCTTTCTAATTCTCCAAAATATATATAGTGATATGGAGATGAACCTTATTATTGTCCATATAATTCTAAGGTCAAGAACATTATTAAAGATAAGAAGTGAAAATCCAGACATAGAGAATTATAATTGTTGTCTCACTTTGCCTGTTTTTCATTACTATAACGGAAGACTGGAGGCAGTAGAGAGGTTTATTTGGCTCACGGTTCTGGAGGTTCAATGTGGGGAGCAACTCGGACTAGACTAAGTTACTGGAATTAAGACTTATTCTATGCATCTGCTCTCCCACAGTGTGGCGCTGGGAGGGAGGAGAGCAGCTTCTACGCAGCTGCCACTTGCCAACTTGAGTGATGACCTCCAGGAGCTGAACCTGCTCCTGATTGGAGGGGAGCAGCGTGCTCGGCGTGTGGGCAGCCGAGTTGGGATTGGCAGAGGAGGGCTATAAAGGAGGAGAGAGACGGCATGCACCAGGAACATCTAAGGGGAACACCTGTGCAGCCCCCGAGAGAGCCGGCCGGCGGTGTGCCGCTCCCCTGCGGAAGTGGGGAAAGTGGCCAGGGGGAACTGCCCTTCCACGGAGGTGGAAGGGACAGCAGCCAACCCGGGAAGAACCAGCAGCAAACCCGGGGAGGGCCGAGCAGACAAAAGAACAGCGCAGGGTCCTGTGTCGTTCCTCCACGAAGACGGGGAGCGACATAATGGTGCCGTGACTCGGATATGAAGCCTAGGCAGGGCTTAGTGTCGTTCCTCCACGAAGAGGGGGAGCGACATAATGGTGCCGTGACTTGGATATGAAGCCTAGGCAGGGCTTAGTGTCGTTCCTCCACGAAGAGGGGGAGCGACATTCAAAGGCATGGTACTGGCATCGGCTTGCCTCTAGTAAAGTTCTCATGATAGGAGACCATGGGGTAGTACCACGATAACAGGAGCATATGCTAGAGTGAGTGACCACATTACAAACCAGGAAGCCAGAGAATGAGTCAGGGGTCAGGCTCGCTCCTGTAACAACTCACTCTCTCAATAGTTAAAGGGTTCTGTGAGAGCTACCTTAGTTGTATCCAAGGGCAGCAACTTCAGTGATCTGTCACTAGGTTCTACCTCTTAAAGGCTCACCATTTTCAACACCTCCATACAAGGGACAAACTTTCAAACATAGGAACCTCTGGGCACAAACAGCATCAAACCATAGCATTGCCCACTTCAAAAGAATTGACTGCAGGTGTACCTTAAATGCTGAACCTTCAGCTCAAATACACTCAACTAAGGTAGAAGGAGTCTAAAGGGCAGAAGAAACACCTATTATCTTAATGTTCTGCATTTAAAAAAAGAGATAAGCATCTTCAACAAAATGCAGGTCATCAAATTCAACAAAAACTATTGGGCTTTTCATCCTTCCCACTCCACTTTAGGGCAACATTTATCGGATAAAGAACCTTTATCTAAAGAATGTTTAGTGCATTCCTTTTCCAATAAAACTCACACTTTATCAAATAAATTTTAAAATTTTTTTAAAGAAAACTTTTATTTAATAAAAAAAATTTTGAAAGTACAGCTTTTGGATTATAGCGGTTTTTCCCCCATAACCACCCTCCCACCCACAAACCATCCCATCTTCTACTCCCTCTCCCATCCCATTCTTCATTAAGATTCATTTTTAATAAGGGACACTAACCCACTGTTGGTGGGAATGCAAACTGGTTAAGCCACTATGGAAGTCAGTCTGGAGATTCCTCAGAAACCTGAATATAACCCTACCATTCAACCCAGCCATACCACTCCTTGGAATTACCCAAAGGAAATGAAATTGGCAGACAAACAAGCTGTCTGCACATTAATGTTTATTGCAGCTCAATTCACAATAGCTAAGACCTGGAACCAACCCAAATGCCCATCAACAGTAGACTGAATAAAGAAATTATGGGACATGTACTCTATAGAATACTATACAGCAGTCAAAAAACAATGAAACCCAGTCATTTGCAACAAGATGGAGGAATCTGGAAAACATTATGCTGAGTGAATTAAGCCAGTCCCAAAGGGACAAATATCATATGTTCTCCCTGATCAGCGACAACTAACTGAGCACCAAAGGGGAAACCTGTTGAAGTGAAATGGACACTATGAGAAACAGTGACTTGATCAGCTCTTGTCCTGACTGTTGATGTACAATGTAATACATTATCCATTTTAATATTTTTTTATTCTAGTACTATTGGTTGAACTCTGTAATTAATACACAATTATTCTTAGGTGTTTAAATTTTAACTGAAAAGTGATCCCTGTTAGGAATCTGGAAAACATTATGCTGAGTGAAATAAGCCAGTCCCAAAGGGACAAATATCATATGTTCTCCCTGATCGGTGACAACTAACCAAGCACCAAAAAGGAAACCTGTTAAAGTGAAATGAACACTATGAGAAACAGTGACTTGATCAGCCCTTGCCCTGACTGTTGATGAACAACTTAAAACGTTATCCCTCTTAGTATTTTTTTGTTTGTTCTACTTAATACTTGTGGTTGAATTCTGTAATCAATACACAGTTATTCTTAAGTGTTGAAACTTAACTGAAAAGTGATCTCTGTTAAATATAAGAGTGGGAATAAGAGAGGGAAGAGATGTATAATTTGGGACATGCTCAAGCTGACTTGCCCCAAACGGTAGAGTTAGAAACATACCAGGGGATTCCAATTCAATCCCATCAAGGTGGCATGTACCAATGCCATCTCACTAGTCCCAGTGATCAATTTCTATTCACAATTGATCATAATGATAGGACTAAGAGTCAAAGGGATCACATAAACAAGATTAGTGTCTGCAAATACTAACTGATAGAATAAAAAAGGGAGAGAACAATCCAACATGGGAAACGAGATACACAACAGACTCATAGAATGGTGGATGTCCTAAACAGCACTCTGGCCTCAGAATCAGCCCTTAAGGCATGCGGAT